GTGTGTGTGTGTGTGTGAGTGAGAGAGTGTGAGCGAGAGAGTGAGAGTGTTCCGTGAATTTCAGGAATCGTTATATAACTGTTCTGTAAGTTGGAGGGAGGTGGGGACAAAAACAAGGGTAAGATACTGTGATAGAGTGAATGATAAATCTAAATCAGTGATACCTTTATATACTGTACATGTAAAATAACTTTTTTGATGAATCGGATCTCTCACTGATTGGCTTTGTTCGAGCCGTTTGAGCTTGTGTCCACTTTTCCATTTGCTGCTCGAGACATAGTCTAAGTCTGTGGTTCTTGCCTGGAAAAAAACACGGTACACAGGAAATTGTGTTTAATGTTTCCTGCTTTTTGATTGAAATACTTGGAAGAAGAACAGCGAAGTTTGCTGGAGAATAAAGGCTTAATAGAGGAAAGGCATAACAGTGCTGCACACACTTCAGACTAACAAAACAAATTGGCCTGTTATTAAGCAGCAGCTTCACATTACAAGCCACAGAGATATTTGGGCCTATCTGGAACCTGTAGCCTGAAGGAACAAGCCTCCAATAACCTTTTCCTTAGATGTGTGTCTCTGTGCATGCATGTGTTCATGTGCACATTCCCATAATGTGGCATCACTAGCCTGGCCATGTTTTGTAAGCATTTCTGAAATTGAAAAGCGTGTCGGCAGGGTTTGTTTGTTCAGGCAGATTCTCTGCTGCTGGACCAGCCTACATATATCTCCGTGTGTTAGTATGTATGTATGTGTTGATCTGTGTTCAATTTTGAACATTTGTCCCTCTGAAATGTGTGTGTGCTTGCATGTGTGCCCGCGTCCTGTTTGTGTCCTGTTTTGTGTTTCATAAGCCGTCCATATTTATGATCCAGCTCTTACATAAGCCTCAGATCTAGTTCAGTGTGTCTCTGGCAGAACAACTAAGAGAGTGAGGAGGAGGAGGAGGAGAGAAGACGAAGAAGGTGTATGTGAAATCCAGGCAGATAGAGGGTAGAAGAAAGATTTTTAAAGAACAGAAAAATGTGAAGTTATAGGTGCAATTCATTTCTTTACACTTTGGCTCAGGTGGATGATGAAGAGGAGGATGGTGTTTTAAAAATTCAGTTTAGTTAAATGTGATTTGAATCAATGTGAAAACGTAAATGCTCACAGGCTGAATCTGACAAGAGCTGGATTGAGCTTAACAAGTTTAATGGAAGTTTCCATTTCAGGCACAGTAAACAAGAGAGAGAGAGACTGTTTGTGTCTCATGCACACCTCAAAGCACAAAAAGTCTGAACAGTGAGTGATCGTTGAAAAATAACACAGTGCTGATCCAGTCAAACTGGCTGCTTGATCGTTTGGGAGGAACTACATATTGGACTTGTGGTTATTCATCACCGCCTAATGATAGGATAATATGATTTATTACTCCCAGTTATTATTTATATGTGCGTGACTTGAATTTCAATCAGTTCTCGGTGGCAGTGGACGGCCAGAGGAGTGCTCATCATTAATCGAATGACACAACTATACTCACACCACCCTGCCTTAAAGAGGAGGGGGGGGCTTTAGATTTTTTGGAATACACCCTGTTTTAAAAGTCAAACAGCTATTTTGACTTTGGCGTTGAAATGTTCCATTCTGATTCAGATCCACGTCAAAATCTCATGGGTTCTTCCCGGACCCATACCGCATCCTTGCACCAAGTAAAATCCGCTCACTTGTTTTTGTGTAACCTTACTTACAAACGGACATGGATGGAATCATAACTTAATTATTATTATTAAACATTATTTCTTCTCTTCCTCTGACAGACCAATCCCACAGCGCCCCCTTCAGCTCCGAGAATGAGGCTCAGGGAGGCGACCCAACTGTGTGGCAGTGCACTCCCCCATCTACCTCACCTTTGGGGGAGGAGCCAGCCCACCCTCCCCCCTACCAGCCGGCATCCAGACCCCGATCCAGGCCGGCTAGCCAAAGCCCCTCCCCTCCCTCCGCCCTGATGGGAACCAAGAAGAGAAGCTCCAAACCGGCGCACATGAGACGCAACATCAGGTATTGAAATCGTCAAAGACTTTTGAATGATGATCTAAAAGGCAACAGTTAGCCCACCATCGTCAGGGTTACATGTTGAGTTCAATATGCATCATTAGAAAAAGAAAAAGATTCCTTGTCAAAAAAAACTGGTTGTTTCTGTGACATGTCATCAGAACTATTTTGTTTGTGTATTAAACAATCGATAATACAATATTTCGGAGTAATTAAATTTTTTATCCGCTCACTGGGCCAGAAAAAATAAATTGAATTTGTATAGGTTTACATAAAGACTCACTTTCAACTTTCTTAAAGGACTTTTCAAAAAATGAGTCTGACTTTTGCTTGACAAGTAGTAAGCAGTCAACCTTGAGATCAATGGGATTATTACATAATCCCCTGAGTATGTTAATGCTAAAGTGCAGGGTAAACTACCGTTCACTCAGCCCAGTAACCACATATTTTATCTGTAACAACATCCATTGTTGGCTGGATAACCGGATCTATGACGAATAAGCTCAGGCCAATTCCGTCTAAGATCTGTCAGTGATTACACATGTGCTTCGTGTGCTGCCTCAGTCCTGCGGCTGCCAGGAGCCATGCTATACTGTTGCTCAACCTCAACTATGCTGTTGCTTTTACATAACAGCGTCTTAAGAATAATATCAAACATGTGTGTCAGAGTTGCAAGCTCCAGCTTTGCTCAATGATAAAATATTTAACTATTTGTGCCTGTAGTCTGAAAAATCACTATTACTGGCATTGTTCAGTTCAATTTCTTCCAAGGTTGTACACATGTACAATTTTCCCCAGAATTTCAACAATGACAATGATTGATTTGACTAAAACCTTTCTCTAATGAAATCATCTATCTAAATTTAAGAGGACCTTACTTCTGACAATGCACAAAAGTCATCCTGCAAGCCCACAATAAACTATTCCTTTTTCTTTCCTCTTACTTAGCTTAGAACAACTGAAAACAGCTTCATCACAGACAATAGTCCTGATTCTGAAAGGGTAAATGTGCCATTCAACCTAAACAATCAGCTCAAAGTGACTGGTAGCTCCTCAGAGCTGAGGTGATTATTCTGCAGGTTCATATGACTCACACCTTTCAAAATACACAGAGATATTTGATTCTCTAATTCCCTATAGTTAACGCAGCTGTAAAGAATACACTGCTCGATATGATATGGTCGTCATCATCATATTGATGAGTCTTTTCAATGGAAACCATGCGTCTCTCTAACCTTTAACACAGATCCTGTGACAGTTGATGAAACCAAACATATTTTATTCTTTTGTAGGAAGTTACTGAGGGAGCATCAATTGGAGGCAGTGACCAAAGCTGTCCAGCAGGAAGAGCTGGAGAGGAGGCGACGTCTGGACCAGAAGAGAAAACAGGATTTCACCGTACCGCTGCTGCCTGAATACACGACTGGTGAGAGCCAACAGCCAAATCCACAAGACTACTGTATAAATACTGATGGCAACCACTGGTCGATTCCATACAAAGCCTTTAACTTTACACGTTTCCATCCTGCAGCCTAAGTTCCTGATCCTAACTGTATGCAAATTTCAAACCCCGAAATTCCCTAGTGAACATGTTGCTTTAATCTTAAGAGTATCATATCATATATCTCATCACATTTTATTACGTGGCCATTCATTGTGAAATATCCTGTGCCGGTCAGGTTACTCTCTGTTAATCTGCTGCATTGTTACTCTCATCTCTCCAGGCGATGTGGTCAAGCACGTGTCCTCAGCATCAACGGTGTCCCAGGAAGATGTGAAGTCCGCCGCACAGGGAGTGATCCGTCTGGACTCCAGCAGCACTGTCATCAGCGAGGATGACAGCAAGACTAACGCACATGACTCTGTGACCAGAGAGCGCAGACACAAGACAGGTGAGACACACTCACACACAGATTCATCTCAGAAGGCAAACACAAAAGGGCAACTTCCCTTAAACATTTTTATAACTTAATTAATGTCGCGTGTAAAGATACTTGTCGCTGAAAGTCACGTATGATAATGAAAGGATGGTTCTTTATTTATTTGCCAGTGTTCAGATAGATGAGGTCCTGGCTCAGGCCCTGCATATTTCCAGAAATGATCAAAGCAGATCCCCCTTTGTTTGTTAACCAAGCTGTATTTGTACAAACAGTAATGACGTATATAATGAAGTATAAACAGTAATGACGAGGTGAGGAGCCTGAGCTGTGCCCTTCACACTGAAGGTCTCTCGCCCGCTTTGCCCTCCGACCTTTTTTTGAATATGCAAGTTGGCCAGTAAGTCAGACGTCTGTGGGGGGTCATGAAAGCAGATAAGGACACGGAGCTGTGAAGTCTATTTATCATCCAGTCTGTAGGTTCTCAGCTGTCTGCATTATGGGGCAAAGCCTTAAAGGTACAGTGTAGAATTTAGTGATATCTAGTGTTGAAATTGCATGTTGCAGCTGAACACCCCTCACCTCACCCTCCCCTTCCAAACATGAAAAAGAACCTGTGGTAGCRTRKYMT